GGTCTTGAATGCTCGCTAAGGATTTAGGATTTTACTGGCTAAGAATTGGGTGCCACATAAAATACTAAAGCAGGAGAATTAACATGGACAGAGAAGAACTTTTGAAAACTCTGACACACTCTGGCAATGGTGCAAAAACTGGATAATTAAAAACAAACAAGCAGTCAAAGAGGCAAACAAACAACAAAGGCAGCCTGATGACATGAGGTCAGCAAACACTGTGGTATCTGCCTTATGATGGATTATCACAGCCCGAATGGTGGTCGTGAGCACAAGGGTCACAGATCTGCCAATTGTAAGAGACAAAGGCCTCGACTGAAAGCCTTTTCAAGATTGCAGCCTACATTACAGGAAGAGTGGTAGTGACCTTCAGGCAAACAGCAAAGCCAATTCAAATAACTAAAGAGATTCCCCCCTTCCTCCCTCCCTGGGGGTGGGTTGCAGAAGAGATAATGATCTCGGGTTTGACATGTTAATTTCCCTAATAAGGCCTGAATCTGTTCTATGCACCTGCTTTAAGAGTGAAAGACTGTTCAAAGAAATCCAGTAAGCCTTTGACTTTCCTTAGAACTTCCTTAACTAGCACATGATAACTTGAACCTACTGGTCACTTATTTGATGCAAGCCGGCCTTGGCTGTCTGTTCAGCCATCCTTTGAATGACCTCAGCAGTCCGATGACGGCTGTTCACACATGACCTGACCCTGAGGGAAGGAACATTCCAATCTGGAGATGGAGCTTTCTGGCCTGGATTTCACTTCTGAGAGGGCTACAGTATGTGAGGCACAACTTCAGATTTGAAACTTTTTATGCTTCGATATTTAAAGGCAAAGAAAGTCTGTAGGTAAATGTCAGTGGCGAAGTTCCTTATCAGTGCGCTCCTGAATTCTAGGAAATCTAGATGTCAAGATGCCTGTTTGTCATTCAGTCCTCACTGGTGGAAACAGTCAACAGAAATTCTGTCACATGCATTTGCAGTGGTTGGGTCCCCTAAATAACCAAAAGATGACAGAGACCCAACTGCTTCATAAAAAAGGAAATTACCATTTGTAAAAACACACTGCTTATCAACGCTTCCCAGCATGTCCTTGGAAGCTATGAAATTAAATTAACACCTTTCGGGAAAGGATCGAATGTGTGTGAGTACACATAGAGACACATACTTCTGAGCTGTCCCCAATATGCCGCGCTTCACAGACTCTGTCAACTCTTCAACAACACGTGGTAATAACATTTTTTAAACACTGAAAAACATCGAGCTTTTAAAAAGTGAATGGGGCCACTTTATTCAATGAAAAATAGAGGAGTGACTTGGAAGGAGAATATGGCCGTCCAGGCTGGACTGTGATCCGGTCACGGGCCCCTCTCTGCCTCCTTCTATGGGTGTAGTGACCAGTCTCCGACGATGGCCCCTGAGCATTCCTGCCCTTCTCACGGGCTCGGACCGGAGAGAGGGAGAGCCTTTGTGCTCCCCCTTGACTCTGGGCTGGTCTTAGGGTTCGGCCAACAGAATGCAGCCCAAAGTGACATTCAGAGCCTGCCCTTAAGAGCTGGGGCAACTCCTGCTTCCTGTGTTGGCAGCCAGCCACCACGTGGAACGTTTGACTACCCGGCTGGAAAGGAAGGCCCAGTGGACAGAGGCCTGAAACCACCTTGGCCACTTGCGCCCAGGCAAAAACACCAAATGAATCCCAGAGCCCTTCCACCCAGACCCCAATCATGACAAATAATATATCAGTGTTTGTTTCAAGCCACTATGTTTGGGGTCCTTTGTTATGCAGTAATAGATGAATGAAACAGTGGGTGACAAACGATAGCGAATGGTTCATCTGTGATTGTGTTGGGATTGTGTGCACTTCTGCTTATAAACCAATGTAAACTGGGGAAACAGATAGGACCTTCTCTTGTCACATTCAAACTCCAGTACTCAGTAATATCTAGGACTGGCAAGGATGTTCACACTGGATTCTGACAACTCCACCCCCAGAGCCCTGCGGGAAAACTATACCCCTTGACTGGTCCACGAAGCTTGCTCCCTCCTAGTAGGCCTGCTGTATCTAACACCAGGCCACAAATCTCGTCGCATGTTAGAAAGAGTTAACAAGATGAATGCTGGGAAGAATAAAATTTCAATAGGAGCACTGGGAAGGATGAAGAGAAGTTAGCAGAGACTATAACTGTGCTTTCTGGCATGGGCTGCATGGAGCCACACAGACATCGATTTCTGGGTAAGACATTCCTGGGCAGGCCTGGGGGGTTGGGTGCAGGGGGAAGGAAACTGAATTATTAGCCCTGATTCTTGGCTCTTCTTGACATCCACACCCTTGTCATGAACTCACTGTGTTCAGACGTACTTCTCTGCCTCTCACCTCTGAGCCTGTTCTGGAATTTGCTTTGGCTAGTAAAACATGGGTGCAAGGGACAGTGTGCCAGCTGCAAGCCCCCGCGGAAGAGGCAGCATGCGGATCGCCTGCACTCTCATCCTGCCAAAGGAGAACACGCCGCCCTTGCCTCACTGGCCCCACAGGGAAGATGAGAGACAGAGAGTAGAGTCACTCCAGCTGCCCCACCCACTCGTGATCAAGAAAGACAGGCTAATTGTTGAATGTCACTGAGAGGGTGAGGTTGTCTAATGCCCAGCAATGATTGACTAATACAACGCTCCTTTATTTGCAAAGTACTTTACAACAATAAAGTCTTTTCAGTTATAAAATTTGTAACTAAATCAGCAAATAGGTGGTTAGGCAGCCTCCTTGCCAAGTAGAATATAAAAGCACGATGTATTGAATATCAATGGTTTTTGCTCTTGCAAGTCTAAGTTTATCTTTCTAAAGATTGTAGTTCTATATATAAAGAAGTTCTCTATAACTTAACCCTGTCTTAGTTTCCCAGCCAGTTCTCTCCACTTTTACTTTATATTCCATTCACACTGGACTACTTAAGTCCAGGTGTCTCACTGACTTCAAGCCTCCCCTCATTCAGTTTCTTCCTAGACCCTTTTTCCTACAAAGTTAGATTCACCAATCTTTTAAGGCCAAGTTCAGATGTTTTCTTCTCAGAAACCTGCTCTGATCCTGCCCTTTAAAGCAGTCTCTTCATCCTCTCACTCTTGATGTACATCTTTTCCTCTTCTGGTATTTGGTTTATTCTGCTTCATAACACTTCCTTATCCTCTTATAAAAGTCCTAGAAAGGCAGGTTTACAAATCAATTACCTCTGTATCCTCTGTGACATCTAGCAAGAGGTCTTACACAGAAGTGTACAGGCCAATCCATACTTTTTTGCATTAAAGCATGAGTAACCAAGGGGAGGCAGCAGGGCATCGGGCACTAACACACGGACTCTGGCGTGTGAGAGCTCTGAATCCACCACTTAGTAGCTGGGCAACTTTAGACCAGTCCGTCTGTGCTGCAGCTTCCAAATCTGTAAAATTGGGATGGCTCATCTTTCACAGGATGGTTGTGAAAATTCAGCATGAACATGAATGTAAATGCTTCTCTGTGTTTGACATATGGTGGTGGCTCCAAAAATGGTAGCTCTTATTACAAAAAATGATAATGACACACAATATCATATAGAAGTTAGTTTAAACAAATCCCTATGAGATTATTTTCTCTTTTAGAAGTTAAGTATCTGAGGGTATCAGATAAGCTGTTTTTCCAGAAACTGATTTCAATGATCTGGTTCTAGTTTTAGTAAGATACTCACATTACTCTTCTCCCCAGTTGTAAATGCACAGGTAGCCATCACTAGCAGCTAATTTGTTCCAGGCAATAAATGCATCTCCTTAAAAAACAAAACACAACAAAAGCCTCCTCCCCACATACACTGTGCTTTTTCACTAAGGCTTTGCCCTTTCCACAGCATTCCTAATTCTTCACCAGGGGACTGCAATGGCTGTTAGCGGATCAAAAGCTAGAGATTCTACATGCAATAGACTTACTTGTCAGGGAATGAATAACACGACTTCAGTTGTTTACACACAAACATTATTTCAATGTGGTTCTTTATTGAGTGAGAGATGAAGAGGCGCTTTTATGAAGACAAGTGCCATGCAAATGTCAAGTAGTAAGTTATTACTGTTGAAATGATTCAGCAAACCTGCTTCATCTGCTTGGTAGTCACTGGAATTTTGTACCAACACACAGCCATGCCTCATCAGAACAGTAATCAATCACCCACGGAACAAACTCAAAATTAGGCAAACAGAAAAGCCTGTAACTGGCCGGGCAGGTAACATCAAGGAGTGAAGTGGGCTTGACATGCTTTCACAGGAGGTTCACTGGAGGTCACAGCCTGATGAACAGGGCAATGGCTACCTCACCCCAGTGATGGTTGTTACCTCAGGGAGTGAGGACCCAGTGCTGCCGGAACTTCTCAAGAAATTTAGGGTTTGATGTGAAACATCCTGATGTTTAAAGGCTGTTTTGATTTTTGTTTTAAAATTCTCTGGGAGCCAAAACAAAATATACTGGAAGGTCAGATGTGGCCAGGGGTTGGCAGTTTGTGACCTTTTGCACCAGATATTCTAATGTCACTCTGAATCATCACAGAAAGCTTAAAAGATGATTAAATTCATTGAATTTGTATTTTTGAATCCAAAAATAATTCACATAAAAAGTAACTATTAGTCTTAAAAAAACCAGCTCACTCTCATTTATTAATAAATCCTCACTCATGCCACTGTTGGACCTCTGTGTTTTCTGTCTTAAGTTCTCTACCAAGACACCCTGTGCCTACTGTCCTACACATCTAAGTGCTGCTAGTTATATAAAACTTGATTTAAATGCCAGTTTTTGCATAAACCTCCATCATCTTCCTGAAGTCCTCTATGTATAAATTATGATGAAAACTGTCCAGTGCAAAAGATTTGCACTGATTGTTATCACATCTTTCATCAGCCCTTTCCCAGCAGCCCCCAAACAGGTAACACCAATAAGCCTACAAATATTAACTCCCGAGAAAGGGAAAGGCCTGGATCGACAGGTCAAGGGCACTCACCGCCAAACACATCTCCGTTCTGGTAGTTTTTCCCTTTCTGGGCTTCCTCTTCATTTTGAACAGTGGCAACATGCTTGGCGGAGGCACAGCCCATAGTCTCATTCGGTCAGCTTCAGCCGGGCTGAACTGCAAATCATCTCTACAGACACAGGGACATTTTTTTTTTCTTTACATGCAGAGAAAATCCTTCTGCTGAGTCGGTTAAAATGTGCGCACCTGCAAGAACAGAAAGTCAGGTCAGAGTGTGTGAAACAGAACTCGCGTCTCAGCGTCTGCCAGAGCTGTGCGGCCGGGAACGCATTGGAATTCCCACCTGAGCCCCTGCACCGGGGAGCAAATGGACACTGAAGACCGAAAGGAGGCATGGCCCCTTCTCATCTGACTCTCACTCAGAAAGCAACACCAGGAGGCATGCCCACTCCACAACACATGGCTGCACTTTTTGAGGCAATAACAATATTTATTCAAATAAATATTTGAGCACAAATATGTGTCACGCACATACTTAAGCACATATGTTTGCTAATGTTCTGGAATCTCAAACACCTTCACAGTATGGAATGCACATTCACGAGATCCAGCCAGGTCAGGAAGCTGGGAAAGTTCTCCAGCTCCCTGATCCTGCCCTGCAGGCCAGCCCTTCCCAGCTCCTCAAATTTTGCCAGGAGGTAGTCTTTCTTCTCAGGCTGAAACCTGGGCTAGTTTATTCATTTCCAGTGGGATCTGCAAATAATTCAACATTTTATTTATTGTCACAGAAATGACACTGTTTTGGGGGACAAAGGAAGGACATGGGGACAAGGATTTAAACTTACTTTTGTCCATTTTCAGTTCAGCTACTTGAATGTTTTAAAGATTGAGCAGAGGTAGGAATATGAAGAAGACAAGGCAGTTGCCTGCCTCTTATCAGAGCCTTTGTGCCTGTATCATAAACTCCTAAAAAGGGCTGAATGAGTACTTATGGATAAAACACAAAGGAGCTATCCCCTATGAAGTCAATTTACCTTCCCCCGCCCCACTCAAGGTTGCTGCCCAAATTCTCAGTTTGCTATACACAACTTGCTCATTATTTATTCTTTCACCATCCTTATCCAGCCATTCCAGACTTCCAGTGTTTTGAAACAGCTATACATTCCTTCATCTCCATCCCTCCCACTGTAACACAGGCCCTCACCTCTTCACACCTGAGGCAGAGTGAGAGAAGTACCCAGCCCGCTCTTCATTTCCCTTAGCAGCCACATCCCACCCCGGTCCTTCCCACTTTACCAACGGCTGCTGTTTCTCAACCTCAAGAACAGTGCCACGAAGTGCAGGCTTTCTCCTCCGAGAAGGCTGCTGCCCTCATCTCTCTTTCCTAAAGCATTAATGACATCTAGGCATGTAGCAATCCCATCATTTAAACCATAAAACCTCAGCAAAGGGAATTTTTCAGATTAGCCTAACACTAAAAGGTAATTCTAAATCAGTCTACTAAATGAACTTAGATACAAAGGTAATAGTCTAAATTAAGCCAAGCGAATACAAATTTCCATATTGACTCTATGGCTGTATCACTAGCCCTGTCTTTGTGTAGTTCTTCAGACTATTTTCTATCACCCAGTTATATTAAATCATTACAAGAAGTATAGGTTTAGTTGAAGTTTGACATTGAAAGGCTTTTTTCCCCCTAGACAGTGCATGCTTATATAGTTTCTCTACACTAATTGGTAACCCTATGCTAACCAATTTTCATCCTTTTAAAGCTGTAGGGACTATGCATACACACAATTATTCTGATGACATTCAGGAGTAATGCTGTTAAAGCTAGGGTATTTCAGTTTGATAGCCTATTCATGCTGGTCTACAGGGCTCAGGGGCTTGATGGGGGAGATACGCTGTAGGGGAGAACTTTTATAAAAATCCACACAAGACAGTGTAGTAAGTGCTATGACTGAGTTTTTACACAGGAATCTATGACAATGCAGAATTCAAAAAAGCACATTCAAAATGACTGGGCAGAAGCAGGAATGAAAAGATGAAGTTGTACTTTGTACGGTCTGAGAAGTTTGGTAGAAATTTGCCAGCCCCGAAGGGTAGGAGCATCATCCGGGCGTAAGGAACTGCCTAAGCTAAGACACCCGAATGTGAAAGAGAACAGCGTGTGCGCATGCGCCATGTGTGGCCGCGCGTGCGCACATTCAGAAGGGTCACGTGGGGCGGGCAGGGAGGAGGGCGGTGTTGCTGAGGCTTTGTGGAGCTTCAGCAGGCCTTGCTTACCTCATCCAACTTAATAAACGATTAAATGTCCTAAGATTCTGGGTGCCTTTCTGACCCAAATTTGAGCACACTTTCAGAAGAATTAAATTAGTAGTGAAGAAATCCATTCTGTCAACCTAGCACTGTTTTTGAAGAAACATCACAGAAATACGAACACAAAGAATGGAGGCAGGATTCAGTCCTAAAGGCAGGGGAAGGGGAAACCTCCTCGCCAACTAGCTGGCTGCCAAGGGGGGCTGCGCGGGATCTGCATCCCAGCTAGCACTGTCTCGGGCATCACCCCGATTCCTCATCTCCAGCATCACCACATTAGGTGACAGGTGCAGGCTCCGGGAACGAATTCCTCACTTTCTAAAAGGGATGTGGGAAAACCACCTCGCACATACGCGGGAGAGCACCCCGATGTGACAGGGGAAGCCTCAGCCCACCTCCCTGTCTGCTGCCACCTCTTCAATGTAAACAAAGTAAAAACAGGAAGGAGAGTGGGAGAGCCCAACAAAATCCCCAAGGACAGTGGTCGTCCAGAGACAATTTACAATCATCTTGCTTTTCGGCTCCTCATTCCGATTTTGTATTTACAGCCTCATCTGCTATCTAAGAAGTAAATATAAAAATTCTGAGCTTTGAACTACACTTTGCTACCTCTGAAAAGCACTGGGTGGTGTTTCTTCTGGGGTTTAAAGTTGTGTTTGTCTCAGAATATCTTACAGTTGAAATCACATAAAAATCAGATAAACTGCAGCAGGCTAACAAAAATAGAAGATATAAGGAAAACTTTTCAGAGGATTTCTGTTATTCAGGCATTGAGTAAGGATCATGTTAACAAGCATGATAGAAATTATTTACACCAATTCAAACTATGACTTGGGAAGTTTCCATGTAATTTTACATTTAAAAAGCGCTATTGCTCCATATAAGTTCTCTTCAAATCATAAGTAGCTGTTGATTGTTGTTTCTGAAACATACAGCAGTACTTTAATTCTAATAGTGATGTTTCCAAGTTTTACAACTTCTTCAGAAATATATTTTAATATTTTGTCCATTTTCAAGGTGATAATTGTGGAGTCATTGCAGAGGTAGAAGATTGTCAATTCATAAAGTTAACCACGGATCACTGGGGAAAGCTTTGTACTATGTGGTTTAGATTCTGCACATAAATGACTGTTCACTCATTCATTTAATCAACAGATAATTTATTGAAAACTACTAAGAGACAGACGTGTTTGGTTAGCACTGGCTATACAGAAGGAAACAAGACAAGATACGGTTTTCCTCCCTATCCCCATGGAATATGAACGTTCAGATAAAGGAGCTCATTAGAATGACACAGTATCACAGCAATGAGGTAGTTACTGCAGGTTAAACATAGGATGACAGGGGAGCTCACGCCACAGGTACCTCATTCAGCCTCGAGAGAGGGAATGTCAAGAGACGGCACGTGTGAGACCTGACCTCAGCTAAAGAAATATCATCACAACACCCCTGAACTGCATCTTTTATAGCCTGATGTAATGTCAAGGTTTCATTCCTATGGAAAATTCTCATTTGACCTCAACCCAACTGAGACCTTAAATTAAGCAGACTTTCAGAAATGTGTTCCTAATGACTGCCCTCATAACCCGCTCCAAAAGTTTCCCTTCATTTTGTTTTATCTTTCGTGTTTTAAACCTTAGCATATTTTAGCTTCCATTTTCCCATTAGCTTTGCTCAGCTTTTCTCTGCCGATCCCCACACCCTCTGTTCATTTGCTGCCCTGAAACCACACCATTTAGAGAAGTCAGCCTGACGGTGCAAATGAGCATGCAGAGACTGCAACACTGCACATCGGAAAGTCCCGTTTGCACAGACTGTTATTCACAGCATGCTATTTCTGAAGGTACAGATCACAGTGTAAGACTCAAATTGAAGCATCTCTTTGATGTTTGATGGAAACTTCTGATGCTAAGTTCCATTGAGGATGATTTTTTTAAATGAAATAACCCATATGATAGGATCATCAAGCACCTCTAAAAATATGGGATCCAATTAATTGCCCATTGCTTTGTGTAAAAGCCTCCCCAAATGGTTGTATGGCTACATTATTCTGTACCATGAAATTAGAGGTTGTAATCCCTATCCACAAAGCTATGAGCTAACTGATTTAGTTGCATCTTTGTAGGATTTTTTTTCTTGCTTTTGATAAAAAATATTCTAGCATATCTGTAAATAAAATTAAAAATTTTAAAGGAGGACTAAAAATATATAACCATACATGTTTATTCCTTCTCTTCTTATACTATGCTTCAGCCCCCTTAGGTAATGCTTTAAATATCTATCACTAGGAGAATGAGTGTTCCCTAACATTCCACATTATAACATGAGAAAGTTCTTTCCTATACAGAAGTAAGTCTGTTACTTCTCTATGAATAGATAACACCTCTGTGTGTTACATTTGCCCCTTTATAAGGAAAGACTATGGATTATGATGGCTTCTTTTCTTTTTTCAAAGCTGATGGCTTCTCTTTATTTTTTTCAGCTTTATTAGGTATAACTGACAGAGCTGCAATATGTTGAAAGCGTTCAAAGGGACGATTTGATATACATACACATTATGGAATGATTTCTACCATTCAGTTTAGTAAACATACCCATCATCTTGTATGGTTACTTTTTTTTTTTTTTGGTGAGAACATTTAACTTCTATTCTCAGCAGCTTTCAATTCCACAATACACTACCAACTATAGTCACCATGTTATACATTAGTTCCTCAGACCTCATTCAACTTATAAAGAAAGTTTTTAGCTCTTACCTGTCTTTCCCTATTTTCCACAGCCCCCAGTCCCTGGCAAACAACCAACTCTGTGTTTCTATGAGTCTGACTTTTATTTTAACATTCCACATATAAGTGCATGCAATTATTTCCTGTATGGTTTATTTCACTTAGCATAATGCCCTCCAAGTTCATCCACTGTTGTAGGAT